GAAACATTAAGTTACCTACTTCGTGTTCACTAGAAGCGACCCATGCTCAAAACTCACACTAAACAAATATCTATTTATATGTAATTAAATTATTTTAATAACCCTTTTTGTATTATTACATTATAAACAAAAAAATTTTGAATGACCTTTTTTTTTTTGCTTTTTATGCTCTGGCCCGCTAGATTTTAATTTTCTAAAAATTGGCCCTCTAGTAACTTTGAGTTGCCCATCCCTGTTATATATCAATAAGAGAACTTATTATTAATTTTTCTTATATTTTATATTAAAAAACTTTTTCTTTACACAAAATAATTAGTTTAATTATTAATCTTAATAGTGTTTACAGATAATTTTTCCTCCTTTAGTTGACTTTTTTGATATTTGTCCTGTATTTGGATTATTTAAAACACAATTGGAATGCATGAAACGACGATTCCATATTTCTTCAACTCTGCGTATGACCTTATGTAAGTTTATTTCATTTGTTTGACCAAAAATATTTTTTTCACTTGCCATATCAATAACTAATTAAATAAATCTTTATACTTACGCAAGACGATAGTTTGTTTTTCACGGGAAAAAACGAACTGAACTCAAATGTCGATAAAATCAACATTTACATCTAATTGTCAAGGAAACTTAATTGTAAAAATTCATTAAAAAAAAATATAAGCCAATTATAAATAAATTTAGTATAAACAATACTTTTTTATTTTTATTTTATTATTGGTCAATGAATACAATATATTTAGAATTAATACAGAGAATTATCAATATATATATATTTTAAAAATATTTTGAAAAAAAAACTTTTGTTATTTATTACATTAGTTTACAAATGATAAAGATTTTTTTATGAAAGTTCAAGTGGAATATATTTGATCGGTTAACAGAATATTTATTCATATAAAATTTAATCTGTATGAAATAAAAAATCAACGTTTGGATTTATTCTCTTGCAACTATTAAAAATTTTGCCAATGTAACATTGCTATTACCATTTAGTTATTAAAAAAAAAACATCATGCCAAGCGATTATAATTAACATAAAAATTTATTAAGTTGAATGTATAATATAGTTTAACAATTTAATTAATAATTGAATTAATGACATAATAACTCTGAAAAAAAACCCAGCACAGGGGATCGACGCACAGTGGTAACGTGGCATAGTTTGTTTAAGTATAATAATATCTAACAGTGATTAAAATAACTATAAAAAAAACGCTTCGATGCAAATCTTTAGATAATGTTTAATTTTAAAAAATTGGTGGATTATTCCAAAAGCTTCATAAACTGCTAGTTCGTTATCAATATCCTGATTAAGATAAAGTATGTCGAATGAAAAAAGGAATATTAAAAAATATTATTTCTCATAAAAAATTATGTTGATCCATACACTTTTCAATATGTCATTATAAAGTTAAAAATGTAAAAAGTAAAATCGAGAATTTTCCCACAAAAATAGCATTCGGTACCCATTTTCACCGTGAAGATAAAATAAAGTCCGAAATTTTTTTTTTTCATGATAAAGTAAATTACATTAGCTTTAATTTAAGATATATATAAAAGTGTCAGACTTTCCGGAACATTTTCAAAAGTTATGTTGAAAAAGTAAATTTGTTATGAAGAAGTTATCATTTTAAATCCCCCCCTGTGGGCAGGTTAAGTGTCAGATTTACAAAAAAAATACACCAAATGATAAGTAAAGACATCAAGCATCTATATAAAAAAAAATTATATTGATATGTTCATTTTTGAAAAAGTTAGAGCATTATTAAGTTAAAAATATAAAAAAAAATTATTTTACAAAAATCGTAATTTTTTATTAACTTTGATGTCAACTTTCACCACAAAGACAAGTCCAGAGGTCAAATTTTTTTTTTTCAAATTAAAGTATATTACATAAGCTTTAATTTAAGATATATATAAAAGTGTCAGACCTTCCGGAACACTTTCAAAAGTTAAGTTGAAAAAGTTGATTTTTTGTGAAAAAGTTGTCATTTTAAATTCCCCCCTGTGGGCAGAAAAAAGGTCAAATTTACAAAAAAAATACACCAAATGATAGGTAAAGACATCAAGCATCTATAAAAAAAAAACTATATTCATATGTTCATTTTTGAAAAAGTTACGACAGTTTTTAGTAAAAAAATTTCAAAAATTAGCGATTTTTAAATTTGTAATTTTTTTAGAGGTTTCCCCCATTTACGGGGAACGAGGGAAATTTTTTCAATTTTGAAGGGTAATGTCTTCGACTAGATACGNTTTTTTTGGAGGTTTCCCCCATTTACGGGGAACGAGGGAAATTTTTTCAATTTTGAAGGGTAATGTCTTTGACTAGATACGATTTGTGATCTTTTGACGTATCGTTGAAAGAAATCCGTTCGGTGAGAGCTGAGAAAAAGTGGTAACAGACACAAAAAAAAAACACATCATAGTAAAACCAATACCTTCTCAACTTCGCATCGAAGCTAAAAAAAAAAATTAAAATTTTTTAAAATGAAGAAAAATTACAAACAACTTAGTTAATACAGTTTTTTTTTTTTTATTAACTGTTCGTGCGTTACAGCTTGTTAAGTTAAGTGATTTTAGGCCAAGTTTCTATTGTTATTTACTGTATTAGATACAAAAGTCATTATTTTTGTTTGTTGTTGCATAAACTAAATTTTATTGACAGGTAAATTAGCTATAATAATCTACGACGCACTAAATGAGTGATAACAATAATAGATTCAAATCGGGTTTTCGGTGTAATATTAATAGCAAAGTCTAAGGGTGTGTAAGACTTATAAATAAAAATAATGACTTCTGTATTTAATACAGTAAAATAACAATAGAAAATTGGACTAAAATCACTTAACTTAACAAGCTGTAACGGACGAACGGTTAATAGAAAAAAAAATTGTATTAACTAAGTTGTTTGTAATTTTTTTTCAATCATTTTATAATATTAAAAATAAGGGTTGCCATTTAAGAAAATTATAAATAAGAGTTTTTATCCCATAAGAGACAAAAAAAATAATGATTTGACTACTTATTAATGTAGAGATTTTTGAACGTTATATTTTTTCTCTTTAAAAAAAATTTAAATTCTCAATAGTTTCTGAGAAAATGAGTATCTTACCAGATTTCAATCGCCCTGTATATGACTTTTATCTCAATGGAAAATGCAATCGAAAAAGTCCTTGTCAAAAAAAAATCTGTATAATAAATGTAAATTGGATTCAATTTGGCAGTAAGTATAAATTTGGTTATTTTTAAATGTAATTCTAAAGCTTTATAAACTCGAAAAAATAAAATTGGATAAATGGTTAACTTTTATTTGAAATAGACGTTTTCTCTTACATCGTTTGATCGAATTATCCTATGCTAGTTAAATACATTTGAAAGTAGCCAAATTTTTATGATGGCTTACTCAGGATCATTTTACAATATATATATATATATATTAATAATAAATAAATATATTAATAATAAAATTAAATAAAAAGAATATTCTTGTCCTTTTAGAATATTTTCAAGAGAATTTTCGATAATATTAGCGAAAAAGATTTTTTCCTTACTAGTTGTAGTTAATATAATAAATAACTAAAAAGATTTTATAGTGGTTACTATTGGTAAATAGCCTATTGATTTTTTTAAAACTGATTTTCATAAATAGTTTATTAAAAATAGCTCGTTGTCTCTAATATAATCTATTAAAATATTATAATGATAGCAGCAATTTTTTTAAATGTTCAATTTTAAAATAAACAAGCAATTTGTAATTTTTTCATTTTTGCCGGTTAATAAATTTTGAGATTTTATTTTACATTAACTAAAACTGAGACGATTTTTTAATTAACTTTTAAGGGTTCTTTCAACATACTGGTTAATAAAATTGGTCAAGTGAAAGACGACAATTTTTATGGTAGACACAAAAACATCACATTATAGTAAATAACATATCATTTCAGCTTCCCATCGAATCTAAAAGAAACAATAAATATTTTTAAAACATAGCGTTTCATTAACTTCGTTTAACTTCATAAATCGCTCAAGAATCATAGTTTACATAAAAAAATTAAAAATTTTATAACATAAAATTTGTTTACTACCATTGTCAAGCGAAATCTTAACCAAAACCCAAGAAATCATTTCGAGTTCAAACTCCAGTACATATTTTTCGCCAATAAACATCTATGTATTAAAATTTCTTTAGATATCAGTTAATTCATAGCTCTACGATCATAATCTTGAAATGACGTGGGCAGAAGTTGCGACCTAAACAAGCCGCTAAAGTTAAACCAGTTTTAAGTCTAAAAAAATTTTACCATGTGTTTTAAAAAACTGTTCAGAAATGTTTGATAAATTAATTGATTAGGAAAAAACAGTAGCACAAAAACATTATTAGTAAGCTTAAGACTAATTGCACAGTTTTTGGTAAAAACTAATATTTTAGTACCAGGAACTTATGAGAATATTGACGTAACACAATTTTCGAATCATTAAATAATGTTGATGTCATCTTGATAATTATTACTAGAATGTAACTCAATTACTCAGACACATGATCACATACATTAGTCCTTTTTGAATTCCTGGTACTAGATTTTTGATATTTGTTACAAACACCAATACCAAAATAAACTATTAATGTTCACTAGTTACATAATACCTCGAATTCTTGGTACAAATTTCGCCAAGTTCGAATAAATAAATATAATAGTTTAATATTAATTTTTATCAAAAAATAACGAAATATTTATATAATTATGTGTTTTTACAGATAGAAGATATATTTTTATCCGGGTTGTATAGTAATTTAACTGAAATTGTAATTCAGTTATAAATTTTTCTTCTAAACGAATAAACTAGAAGTAATACACGCATTAAAAGAACAATAGAAAGAATTCAGAAGCTTATTCGATTTCATCAAACAAATATGTGCAAACTCAAATTGAAAAATACGCCTTATTTTGCAATTGAAGTTTTTATAAATAAACCAAATTCCAGGTGAATTATTAAAAAATACACAATATATTTTATTACAATTCAACAAGTTTCAAATATAATTAACTTCACTTAATATTAAATTACTTTTATTTCTTTTTAAATTTAATAGTTCAACATTTTCGATGTGCTGAACACATTACTTTCTTTACATGGTAATCTGTGTTACTTAAAATATTACCAGTATGGTACATACTAATACATTATGAAAAAAATATAATTACATATATTTTTAAAATTGTTAATATTGAATCTATTAAATTAAAAAAAACGTTTCATATCTAACTAATATCATACTGATTACGATCACATTTGACATTGAAGTAAAAGTAAAATTAAAATTGCCAATCAGTACAATAAAATCATATAAGTTTTTAATTGAAACAATAATTTTAAACACGTGAGATATTTATTCCTTTTTCTCGAAAAGAAACTTTTTTTATGTTTGTATTACTAGAGTACTATTTTGATAATTTAAAAATGTTATATAACAGTTATTTAAGAAATTACCTCTAAATCAAATTGGAAACCAATTGCTAGTAAAATAAATGTTTATTTTATAATTTATTTATTCATCAATGGTTTATTTCTAAATAAAAATATACACAAGTATTACTTCAATAAAAAAAAATATATTTTTTTTACAATATGATTCGTCAAGTCATTTGTTATCATCAACTGAGATCTTAATAAATATAATTTATTAATGAAGAAAAATATATGCATTTAAACATAATTATTGTTACAATAAACCATTACATCAAAGAACAAGTTAATATCTAATCATTGAAAAAGAGATAAGAGATAAGTGAACACTGTTTGGGTTTCTTTAAATCTTTGAAGCACAATTTACATTAGCTATGGTACATAACTTATGAGTCTTAATAATTAAACTATTTAATTACATATTTATGCATTATTAATGTATATTTAAATTAAATTACTGGTGCTCACAATGAAAAAGCCTTAAAATATAACTTCAGTCATTGAAATATTTTATTTGCCTCTCTGTAATTATAATTAACATATACCATTTTAAAATGTTTATATAAGTATTCTTCAAAACAATTATTTTATGAGTTAATAAAAGTATGAGTACAATGCAAATACCATAGCAACATCTATCTTAAAAATAAAATTTTAGGTGGGCTGTTGTTCATACTTCAAAATTAGTTAAAATACTTATTTATTTTTAAATTAATTATAATACACATTTAAAATGCTTTCTAATTGAGCAAAACAAAAAAAATTAATAATAATAATAAAAAGAAAATTAATCAATACATATAAAGAAAATTACACACCAATTATAGAATAAACACAAAAGAAATTTTTCTTTACAAAATTAGGCTTAACCTAATTAGGTAACCTAGTTTTGTACAATTGATATATTTTTCATTTTGATAAACACGTTATAACTTTTTTATGTAATACACATTATTATGATACAATTGGTCTTACAAAATATACCTTTTTTTATCATGATTTTTATATAAACTTTACAATAATTTACAACTTTTAATTTACATTATGAAAAAATATTTTACTCTATACCTAATAAGTAGCTTAAAAACTACAGTATAACTAAAATATTATGTAGAATCTGTAATAAAAAAAAACATCTCAGTTGTTTTCAATAGTAATCGTATAAGTGTACTAAAATATTTCTAAATTAAAAATACTATGTAACAGTCTTAAATTTTAAATAAAACTTTCATTACATATTCATGTAATATTGCTTGAAGAGGTGCAGATGAGAAAAATTTATTTTAATTCAGACATAAAGCTTTTGTTCTTTTTTTTTAAATTATGTATTCATTGAGTGTTTTTCGGTTCTTTATAATTATTTTAATGTTTGCTTTTATTTATAAAAAATATTTAAGTTTAATTACAAATTATTTTGAATATAATTCACGCAAAAAACACGCAAAAATTCATTTTAAAACGAAATAATAACAATTAAAAATAATAAAAGTAAAATAGATTCAGATTGCACAAATACAAAAGGGAAGGGGTAACATATACTTAAATTGTATACTAGATAAATTATACAAGCATACATTAAAAAAAAACTCATCCAAACAATTTTCAATGAAAAACATACACAAATAAGTTAAATAAATAGTTTAATGAACAATAGTTTTACTTTACAAAGACTAAATTTAATAAGAGACCAGTAAGTTTAATAAAATTACTTCAAGTTGTCATTAATTAAAATATTTACTTTTTTATTTTATTTGTAAATTTAATTACAAACTGGCACTCAACATAAGTGCAAAAACAGAATCCATAGAAACTACTGTTTTTACTTAAAATAAAGTTTAAATGATAAGAAATTACAATAGTGTCAAACAAACCAATATCAATTTTAAAAGAAATTATTATATAAGAAATAGCGTAGTAAAATTTTTATTTAGATAACAACTTAAACAATATTGCTCGAGTTTGTTTGTTCCAATCACAGTCTACAATTATAGAACCCGCTCGATTAATAAAGCAGTAATGAATTTTTAGATCTCATTTATAATTTAATAGGAAACCATAATTTCTTTTTTAATCAAAATAATTGTCATTGCTATGATAAGGTACTGTAAAGAATATACATTTATCTTTTTTAATGTCTCTTGATGGCTATATTGCAATAAACAATATAATTAAAAAAGAAAAATACGGAGTTCACAATAATTGTGGATGTAGTTTTAGGTAACTTCACCGATGACTTCCATAAAGCGCGGCGCGTTATATTCACTTTCTTGCCGAATTGTATGAGTATTATACACTTCATCTACGGAAAGGCGTCACCGCGCTTTGCCCTAGTCACCCGAAGCGCTCTTTAACAAGGAACATGAGTTTCTTTTTACCCTTGTATGCAAGTTTCATATTATCAAGTAATTGTGCGAACTGAGCATGACCATCATGTGCTAAAAGAAAGGTATCACGTGCCTTGCCAAGAAACTCAATAAAATCTGCATAATGCCTGGGTGATATGTGTGTTAAGCGAGAGTGTGTAGTGTTCACATATGCAGCAACAGCTGCTTCTAACAAAATTCGTAAGGGAGCACGCTCGTAAGATAAGCCTTTCACCATACTACAGCGAGAAGAGCTATTTCCATTGTTACGATGATGATGATGGTGATGATGGTGGTGGTGGTGATGGTGATGTTTACCTGAAAAAAAGTAAAAAAAAAAATTATACAAAAAAGTAATAAAAACATGAAGGTATTAAAATAAAAATAAACATTTTCTAATTTAATTCATAAAATTAAATAGTGAACAGTGAATTCTCATTGTTTCACTGAGTACATGATGATTGGTTTACCATAAACTGCTCAATTACTCTCAGAATAAGTACAAATACAATAGTTATAAACAGTTTAAAGCAATGACTGTAGATGAGGAGTAAGTGCGACTATTTTTATAACTAGTCATTTGCCAGTCGTACTCTTTCTCTTCCCTTGGAAAAGAAACGAGAATAACTTCCAAAATACTAGTCTAAAAATTGTTCTTTTCTTAATCATATTATTATCTATTAAATAAGCTAGTTACTTATTATGTTGCTATTTAAACAAATTAAGTTGAAAATCTTATAAGTAGTTATAAGGAATGATTCTAAAAAGTAATTGTTATTTGATAAATCAAAAAATATATGTCATTTTAAAAATCCAAACTTTTTTCGAATATTTAATTTATTTTGAGAGTAATTGAGTAGTTTATAATAAACCAATTACTCTGTATATAAGAAATACTTACTATCTGGTGGTGGTAAAGCATGTGCACAAGTCATTCCAGGAGGAGTCATTGAACAACGGCGTAATATATCCGATAGAACTGTAGCACACTGAACATTCTTCACAAGCAATGGTATCATTGTAGCTAATTCATTTTTACCCAAAGAATGACTGAGAGCACAAGCCCAGTGAATATCATTAATAGCAGGATGTGTATCCTAAAAATGAAAAATAATTACTTTAAAAACTCTTAAAATTCTTTATTTTAATAATTTTAAGGTTATCAAAGTTATTATAAAGGATAAAAATATTAAATCATTAATAAAAATTAAAATTGAAGCTCTCTTTTATGAAATATTCATAGTAATTCATATAACATATTTTTGTGAAAATTAACTACAAAGGAACATATCCATACAATTTATTTGAATTAACTGAAATCTAGGCAATGAGTTTAAAAGAGCTTCAGTAGAAAATTTTTTTTTATATTTGTGAAAAAATTACTACAGAAAAATAACGTGTGTTAAAACAGGGTGATTTAAATTACTTTTAAAACAAATTGTTCTATTCTATTAATTTATTAGTCTTTTGAAAACTAAAGAAAAAAATATTTTTATTTTTTTGAAATTGACCTTTTATATATCTATAACATGGTATATTAGCCTAAAAAAATCCTTGTTACTTATTGAAAAAAGTTATAGTTAAAGCAAACTTTGTTTATAAGTATATCAATAAATTATTGATATATTTATAGTTATTAAAAACAATTTCTACTTATCATTATAAGGACCAATCTTAGATGATAAACACAATAATATCAAAATACTTTTACAAAGCCATGTAGCAATTAAAATTATCTGTTGACACATTTACTTGATCATAAAAATTCTAACTTATAATAATGGTCACAATCAAAAATAATAAAATGTAATTACCTGATTATAGGCTAAATGAACATTCTTCATTGCTAACATAGCAAGCTTATATGCACGATTAGGATATCCACGATGTTCCATGTATCTAGCAATGGTAAATAGTTGTGAGGAAGTCATTATATGAGAAGCAGCATCTAAAACTATCTGATAAGCTGCTTCAAATGCTGTTGCATCATTTTCACAAAGTGTTAATGCATTTAAAGCACAGTTAGGAGGATCCTAAAAAATATTATTTATTTTTTTGTTAATTTTAAGAACAACCAAGTATATTAAACAATAATTCAAAAAATAACCTTTGATGCACATTGAAGGGCTAAGGTACGTGCATAACTAGACAATTTTTCTTGGTGCTCAAATGACAAATTCAACCGCATCATAGTACTGTGTGACATGATGGTTGTTGCAACAGGTCCTGTAAAACAGTTTATTTATAAGTAACTGATAAATTCTTAAAAGCTTGTTATGTATAGTAAAATATTTTAATTTTTTATCATACCTGTTGCTTCAGTAGGAGTAAATAGTTGAAACCAATTTTGCATAACTGATGTTAATGCATCCATACCAACTTCAGTAGCACATGTTACTAACCACCGTACCATTTCACGTCTTCTCCAATTCAATGAAGCTAATGTAATTCGCATAACCTTTAGACAAAAAATAAATTAAATTATCACACATCACAATATTAATTAACTGTAAGATTATTATAGTTAAAAATAAAGATTGCTACCTTTATTTTTATAATAATAAATAATAAATAAATTATTTAACACAATTTTTTTATAAAATATTTCTCTTTTAATGTATATAAATTTAAAGTTAAGTTTTATCCCCAATCTTTTGAGTAAAATAATATTTTAATTTAATTAGTAAAACTATTACCTATTACTATTTACTTACTTATTATTATTATAATTATTTATAATAATAATAAGTAAATACTTCTAAATAAGAATAGTATTTAAAAAAAAAATAATTTCAAACACATTTTTTATTTTTAACATACTTGTAATCCTAATTCAAATGCAACAGTCAAAAGTGGTGGATGTCTAGGTCCATTTTCTGGAGTGGCAAAACGGAATGCGTCTTGAGCCAACTTAAACAAATGTGAAGAACTATGAATATGTCTTTGGGCCGATTCCAAAACAGTTCTCAGTCGTAGTAGTTCACCTTTATAAAAACAAATGAAAATTGGTTTAAATATTATGAAATTCACATTCAAGTTGTAGTATTAGATAAATAATACCTTTGGCAGCACTTAGCATGGTTGAAGCTAAAGTACATTGTTGTGTTTCAATGTGTCCAAGAGTAAACCATCGGGGATAACGGTTCAACATTACAGAAGAAGGGTTACCATTTGAATTGTCAGAATCTTCATGATCTTCTAAAATAGGCAGTCTAAGTTCCAAATATTGTAATTAGTAATTTTGGCAAATTCACATTAAAAATCAATATAAATGACACATACCTCATAGCTCTTAGACCAACTTCATAGGCCAAATCCGGATAATAGTCCAGTAAGGCTACAAACAAGAAGCGTGCAAAAGTATGCATTGGTATGCTATCCCTGTGTACGCCTAAACCTAAACCACTAGTTGGGCCACCATCTAAAAGTACAATGGCTTGTCTCCGCAGTACACCAACAAGGTTTGTATCCATGTCAAGCTCTTGTAATTTTGCTATCAGTCTATCTTCTTGCTTGCAGGCCTTTTCCTGAGAAGTAAGAATACAACATTAATTACACACTGAACTTGGGTATTTTTCTTCATTCGATTATTAAAATAATTAATGAATAGTTAAATCTATTTCACCATTAAATTAAATTTAAAATGCAAACATTTTTTAAGGTTGTACACTGTACATTAATCAAATATATTTAAAGATACAATGCAGTCAGTCAAATAAATAAATAAATAATAAAAATTTACTAGGATTAATTTCTAACATTGTAGAAAAATATAATTTATGACTATAATTGTAGGTTTTAAACGGCAAATAATAAGCAAGAGTAATAAATAATACTCAAGGACGGACTTGAGGAGTACCAAACTAACTAATCGGAGTACATTTCACAACCCACATATTTCCCCAATGCGACCTCAATTTCAATTAAAACTTATCTAGAAGCTACGTACACACTATTGAGCTCTACAAATAGGGTAAATCGTGGTCGTCTGTTAATAAAAAAAATCAGTAAGCCTAACGAGTATAACTTGTTATCAGCAAGGCTATGAAAATATAATTCTTAAAGTATACAATTTATAGGATGCACAATATTTTACTATAAATAATTTCGTATAACTAAAGTGACCTAGATTTCTGTTTAGCGTATCCTAGACGAAAAGAAGAAACTAGAAATTTATTTAAACACTAATTTGTGTTTAATTAATAGTACCGAAACACATTAGAGGTCTCGACCGTGTGAACCTGAAGCGATTAAACAGGTCGCCGCTGAAATGTTTTTAATAATAATTCAGCTAAACTTTAGCAAGAGCTATCGGGGACCTTTTAATTGAACAATTTGTGAAAAGGTACACGTTAACAAGCTGAAATATCTTTCACGCTGATCTTGATAAATTATTAACCGATTTCATAGCAATGAATTCTTGTTGAGCTTAATCGAATGAAACAGCAGAAAACTCGCAAGTAGTTTTCAGTATATTTTAATATTATAGTGGGCGGGACGAAAAAATATGCGACACCGGAACCGGATAGGATAGGTTTATAACATTATGAGTAAAAAGCAAGTTACACAAATACATGTATGATACTAACTTGGTCGGTAGGTTTTTAATTTTATTAATTTTATAAGCGTTTCATGGGTTGAAAGAGAACCGGCATGCCATGATAGTCACTGTAATAAAACAGGTTAATTCACCAAGTTCCATTGGCCGATACAATAACAGGTCAATTATAAATTTATTAACAGATGAAAAGGAGCGGTAAATAATTGTTCATTGGAGATTTTTGAATAGAAAATAGGACATAGCGGAAGGTCATCATTTTGGAAGACACGTGCACACTTAGCTCTTTTGCCAAAATTATAAACCAACAGAGATTTTTGAAAAGCGATATAATTAGTTAATTAATGCTCTTGGGCTGATAGGACAAAAAACCTACTAGAAATCTTCGTTTTTTTTTTTTTATCTTTTCACGAAAGAGATTGCAATAAAATAACCAATCATCCTCAGTCAGCATTAGTTTTATTTAATAATGCAAATTCTAACTGACTTGAATTTGAAAACAAATTTTATATGAGAATCGCGTTTAATATATTAGATCTCTTTATATGGAAAAATAATTGGAATAGTGATAATCAAAATGTAAAATGACATAAATTTTGCAACTTCATATATTTGCAAGTTTTCTCTTATAGTAGGTCAATGTTCTGAATGTTTTTAAATCAAATTAAAAAAAAATTTAATGTGCAAGTATAAAATAAAAAAAATATATACGAAATGAAGTATAACATTAACAGTCAAAATCACATTAGACTTAATGTCTAATGAGTAGGTCACAAAGTATTAATGCTGTACTCGCATAATTTAATTTACTTAAAAATATACGAATTTTATTAATCATATATATTTTTATTTACAAGAAGGTCACTGAAAATTCTAAAAAGTACACTATTGCGGACCACAAGCTAGTCTCATCGGTTCAACATTTATTATTCTTTCGGATATTCCTTAAGTATCATAAGCCCGAAAAACACATTGCGCATATTTTACCAACTGTTTAGCTGAATCTTATCGTTGAAAATGAAACGATAATGAATACTTTGTCCACAGTCGTTTTTTAATAACTCATAGCAATTGGGGAAATTAGCCAAACATAAGACAATCGTTTGATGGTAAGCAGTCAGCCACGTAATCAAAATCATCATTAATATTTATTAGTTATTATAATAGAATTTTTTAAAATTAGTAAACCAAAAGACAATACACGAGGAAAACGTTTTTGAAATCTTCATAAGTTTGTAAGCTGTATGACCTCCATTACACGTATTCACACTGATTTCCATTTTACCCGTGTAGACAACATGCTTATGTATACGAGATTTTTATTATAATTTCTGTATACTCGAAACACGATTTCCCACTGCACATCAGCAACACGTACTTGCTCAATTATTTTAATATATTTGACCGGAAATTTAAATACAAAGACAATAAATAATAACAATTAAGTTGTTTGTGTGTTGGCGGCAGAATAGTAATGGCAACAATAATAATTGGTTTTGGTAGTACACCGAGACTCGGGCCGTGTTATCGCGTTACCACAATAAGATAACCGACAACGATAAGGTACTGCTTTTTGTACGTACATGTCCAAAACATACCTGAGCGTATAATCCGGGAGGCATGTTACGCTGCTGGCCCAGTCCGATCAGAGCCACTTCGACGGCCAGCGAGAGGTAAGTCTCAGATCTGTCTTGGGAGCCGACAACGGGTATGTGGGTAAGTCGTGGTGCGGGTCTTAAGCTGCCGCCTTCCTCGGAAGCGTTGGTGTCTGAAAACAGTGTGAAAAACAAAGCATTCAAACACAATTCATTAGCAATTGTCGCGATTATAATTTTGACTCACCGAAAAATGAAGACGAATGAGGCACATTTGGATCAGGAACTATAGATGCATCAGTCAGCGTGTCGAACAGACAACCGATCGGATCCATGGGATGACCGACCCATCCTTCCGTCCAGCTGTTGTGCAACACGTTTTGGTTAGAGCCGCTCCGCGAGCCGTTACGACTGTTGGTGCGTTCGGGGTACCGGTAGCCCGAACCGGACGACGGACCTGGCGTCCGAGGGGGATGATTGTCATAGTACGTGCAATAGCTGTTACACCTGGGCGCGGTGCATACGTTAGGCCTGGGCGCATCCGTGAAAGCCGTACACCTGTAGCTGGTACAGCCCACGTTAGCGTACCCAGACCGTGTTGAATCGTTGTAGCCGCAACGGGACAAATTGCAAGATGACGAGGGCGACGATGGTGACGACAGTCTGTCATATCCCGCCATCGGACACGAAACGCATCTGGACGAGCACGGCCTGGTCTGAGAGTAAGTGTCGTACGAACAAGACTGAGCCGGCCTGAGTTCGTAGCATCGAGTCGGTGGGTTTGAATGCCGGGACGGGCAACGTGGTGGCGGCTTTTGGCTTTCCTGCCACCGTCTTTGTGCGTCCAACTGTTGTTGTTTCATGGTACGCACGACACATACGGCCAACCTTAGGGCGGCCGCATGATGACCGTGCGATCTTAGGGCATCGACGCGCGAGGCGCACGTAGCTAGAGGTTCGTGCCACAACGGCTGTCCCAACGAATTGAAGCTACCGGATTGCGTGCTATCCGGTATATGACTGCTGTAAGTATCGCTAGACAAGATGTTTTTAAGATGTATATTGTCCCAGGACATGCCCACCGCATCCAAAGCTCTAAGGAAACAAACCACATTAAGATGTAACTCATTGCAATAGTGTTAGTAGATTACAAACCTATGGAAAATAGTCCGGTTAATGCGTTGACTTGTGCTAGGATAGCTGCTTCTATATCTTGGACTTGATCTGCTGGATCGGGAAGAGGGCCTGTAGTTACCGTTGTCTACATCATCGTCTGAAGCATTTTCTCCGGCAGCATGGTGATTATTTCTCTATAAAAAGAAAATGTCCTTACATAAAATTTCAAAATAAGGGGAGAAAATACAATTTTATAAATCGAATTGTTTTAATAGTTAAAAAGTCCTTAAAATACATTAAGCATTGGTCAAATAAAATTTCGAATTGAAATTAACAATACTATAAACGATAAGCAATAAAAATCTAGACAATACCAGCTAAATGCTGTGTTTGTAAAATTTGTAATTTATTTTAGTAAAAAAAAAAAAAAAATTAATAATATATCAATGACTTGTCCCCTACACGGTAGTCATTTTTTTTTTTTTTTTACAGAAATCCTTTCCAATTAATTATTTTACTTTGATGTTATACAGCCCCACAAAAACGCGTTTATTATTACTTTCAGACAATTATCAATGAACCCTCTTCTATATCTTATATATTTTTTATAAAAAAAAAGAAAATAATTTTTTCAAACTCTGCTACTAATGGTGATAGGGGCGTTTGCGCATTTACTGTTTATTAATTAAATATTGAGGTGCAAATGTTCAACACCATTTTTCTTAAATTTAAGTTTTAAGAATTAATTTTACTGCGACAGAATTTAAAATAAAAATATTACTTACGTCGTTAAAAGCCGGTGGAAGCGCCAACATGTCAGGATCTTCGGGAGGACAAATGTCTACGTGTGTCCATTTTTCAAGTAACGTCTTCCATTGTCCCTTGTCCTGATTCGTACAATGCGGGTTGAGCACTATGCAAACCCACAGGGCTCCCAACTGATCCCAAAGTTGCCGGCATTTGTCGGTGATTGGCGTACCCTGTGACTTCCACAAGGCCAGTCGGGGGTCGCACAGAAACTGTTCGGTGATTAGCGTCAACATGCGGGCCCCATTCGAGTCTTGCGCCCGCAGCATTTCCCGAACCTTTGCGAACAGCGAATTTAGCTGCTTATTGGCGTTGTAGTAGCTGCCATGGGTCAGATACGATTTGACTTGTTCGCACACTTGTTCTTCGTCTAGATGCCACGTGTGCTCGTCGTCCGCACTAGGACCAGCTGTAGGGTCGGGGGCGCCTATAAAAATAAACGTACAATTTATTTTTTTTTTACTTAACAATGAAAATCAACCATAAAACACGTGTATAATATATTATAGTTGTCTATAATTACTGTTGTCTATAATTACTGTTGTCTATAACATCATGATTTACATTCATTTTATTATATAATTATAATTAAGTGTGTACTTACACAATTATTACGAAAATATTTAGTTTAAAGATCTTATCACGAGACAACGAAAAATTAAGGTGTGTTAGGCTATCATCTTTTGGACACAAATGGTCAAGTTAAACGAGAATATAAAGAAATCGTTATTGGTTTTTAATGGAAATATTATAACACTCAGAAAAACGTTTTACCACAAACACAAAGAAAATACTTTCAGACGACCCAACTGCAATTTACGCGTTTAAATAAAACTCGACGGGGCCTACCTGAGAATTATTTGAAATAGCCGATGCTCAGATGAGCGAGGGGATAGGAAACGTTAGCACAGACGACCCTAATTATTAATGTGCTGTCGATCGCTTGGCCGGCTTCCCGAATTAAATATCATATCCACACGCATTATAATAACAACGTTGAATTAAATAAGAAAAAAGTGGAACGCGTTTGGCTTCCACACACCACTTGCTCTAATCGCATTAATATACACGTGTAATGTTGTATGTTTTCAGGCGGTAATTTTCCCAGATTTCCCTTAACAGCCGACTAATTACCGCATAATGAACACGATTACATGTTTGTAGTATAAAAACAATGAGCATAATTTCTTCAACGGTCAGACCCGTCGAAGGTGGCTGAACTCGAGCGCAGAAATTCGTCAGATTAACAACGTTTATGGAAATCCGTCCGCTTTGTTTGTACACGCACTTAAGGCCTTAATATCGTTAATGTTATGCAAACTATCCAAAGTATTTCTAATGGAACTCGTGCGGTGGTGGGAGGAAGAGGAATGGCGGAGCAGCTCACAACACGTATCATATTTGCCGGTCGTTAATTAAAATGAGAATAGAAAAAAACACACAATAATTGCCATGTATACCTATCTGTTAATTACGTTTTTTATTTCTTGGTTAGAACACACACATCAGGTAATAAATCAAGAGGCCACAAAAATCCGGGCACAACCCCCTTAGTCATGGTGATTTATACACAGTGTACCAACGACTCGACAGTAATCGATTTTCGAAACGGATCCCACGGTGCACCGTCGGTTGGGTTGCCTATACGAGTCGGGCGTTAACGAGAGAAAAAAACACATCCCGTTCGGAGAAGAATTCATTTTTTAAGTAATTATTAACATATCATTCAATCTTCTCATTGCATTCCATCATAAATTAATTTAATATACAAACACGACTAGCCGGTATAATTTATGTACGAGAAACATCTGTATTAGTGTAAATTTCTCCCCACCTCAGTTGAAAATTTGTTTGTAATTCGACATTAATTTCCTCTTGGCACATAATATCCCAAGTGTTAGGTCGACGTGGGACTTGACCGCCGCCACGACGCACACAGTCAAATGCATTATGCATGTGCCTGCGGGGCGAAAAATAAAAAAAAAAAACACTAAACCGGTCTCGAGTTTGTTGATGTACAATAGTAATAATAAAATGAAAAATAAAAAAAAAAAACTCCCCGTTAAAATCAAAATTCAACTGGCAAAACACATAAAATACATCTCGTATTACGAAGTACATATACCGTTGGAAATCAATGAATATTGATGATAGAAACGTCGTCGCGGATTTTTTTCATTGCAATCGAATACGAGTTTTTTTTTTTTTTTTTTTTTTATCCGGTGGAAGTAGTGACGTGGACAAGTAGGTGTAATTCAACACGTTTCGTCGGCTGGTCGTTTTGTTTCGATTATTTCTTTTGGCAACGAGTGACGGGGCGGCCGGGAGAGCTCCTAAAACGCGTTTATTGTTTTATCCGTTCATTACATTAACCTGCCTACAAACGGCATATTTAATAAATACTGGCATTAGTATAAATAATTATGATAATAACGACCGGACCGGTGCCAAGATTAACGTGGAAAACAATGGAACACCGGATATTACAGTTAGTGCAATTGCTTGTCGTGTGAGCGAGTGTACGCGTACATTATAATATCGCTATTATGACTGTTACCATTATGATGGTGTAGCGAGCGGCGACAGAGACCCCATTCGCTGTGGCGGCAGCCGCCGTCGCCATACTTCACTTAACAACACACCACAGTACTACGATTTATACGCACACACATTGCGTAAGCCGTCGCACACACGGTACGCGGCGCACAAATCGTACGGTGTAAACCGTAAAAACACACGAGACGGTAGTGTTGTACGGCAATAGCGGCTGCGGCGGCGGCGGCAGTGGAACAGGTGGCGTGGAACACGGAGGAAATGGCGTCAAACGAAAATCACTTTTCCTCTCTCTCTCTCTCTCTCTCTCTCTCTCTCTCTCCGACGCACACACACGTTTCTTTGCCCGGATAGACCGCCACTAATCAACTAGAAAGTGTAACAAATCAAACCACCGTCCCGACGGTAGGTCTGGAAAATGTCGGGAAAAAACCCACGGATTTCTTAGACCGGCGACATTTAACCTGCTGGGGGAGGGGAGGTACACGACTAGGAATACTAACGATAATGAAATGCGCTCGGCGCGTGTGTTACAAGGCAAATCATCGACATTTTCGTCGCACGTTGCCATGACTTTGTCACTGGATTAGAAAACGACACGCGCAATTTCCAGTGGCTATTACTACATCACGGCCGAGGTCTGCGCCTATGCCTATGCGTACGATATTCTTCAACGCGCGACACTTTTGTCTGCTCACAACGGTTTCCTAATGACCTTGCTAAGACTTGACCGTGTGCACGACGATCGTATAATCTTTATGTCCGCACGTTTGTGACTTTAGTAATGGAACGCGCGTTTTTGTCTGGTTGTTATTTTTCAGGAACGACATTAGAATAAAGTAGAAATGGTATTTTATATTGTGATAATAACTCAGAAAATATTATCACAAAAATAAACAACAAAGACGCGGAGAGCAAATAAATGTTTTTATTGTGGTAAAAGGGGCAAGAGCATATACACATAACTATTTGAACATGACGAAGGCCCAAGGAACGTTTTTATTGTGCCTAGTAAGTGTCATGAAGGTCTGCGATTATTTCAAAAGAAATGCGCACAGTTCTCATCTCCATGTGTGCACTAGGAAAGTGTACATTTGACGGCGCAATGTGCCTGGAATGGAAATGAGATTATAATAACGAGTGAGCGGCGCACAATGCCACCGCCGCCGCCGCCTCTGGCTTGCCGACAAATATTTGTTTTTAATCACAAAAATAATTCCATAAGCACGACAAATATTGTTTTAAACGCAACAACATTTCTTGAGTCATAAAATCGATTTGCCAGAGTAGGTATAGTTTTAAGTGAGAACAAATATTGAAAGTGTACACGCCGCCGCCGCCGTTTAACGCGGTTTTTATTTTCTAGAAAACTATTTATACAAATCGAAAACGAATACAACCCTATTACCTAATAAATTACCGAGAAATACAGACATTCGAACAATGTTTTATATATCAATTGAGCCAAGTCAACATACTATGAATTCGATTCCACAGCTGACAACATAATGTCATTTGCTATCAACAATATTTTCTCTTTTTGCATACGCCGAAAACACACGAGCAGTATCAACGACGAACAATGCGCATTGATAAAAAAAAAAAATTTTCAAACAAATAATTGGACTAATTTTTAGAGAACATGCAATCCTCGTGTTCGAATGAAAAAATTTATATTTTTGACGCTAATGCACTTTGAGCAACCTAATTACCATTAAATTTTTAGTAGTCAAAACATGTTTGCACATTGTTATTGATAAATGCAAATAATAATAAAAGAATAGTCAATAACATCCAATAGCACAACAAAATTAATTTCCAAATAACATTTACTAAGACGGACTTGACTTGCGCTCGTAGACTATTTTTCCTCTAAATGAGTAATGACGAATAATTTTAAGAGCTTCGTTTAGACTTAACAACGACACAATATGGACCAGCAACATCAATACTACGAAACGTTATCGGTTATGGGTATTTTCAGCTATTAATTGGACCATTAACAGTCATTAAAAAATATCGAACGTGTAGTTATTTCTCAAGATCTTCTTCCCTCGAAAAAAAAAAAATACTACAAAAACACAAAATGACTAGTTAATGAAATGCCTCAGTAAACTTGAAAATTCGAGGTAAAAAAAAAAAATGTTTCCAATCGACCTCGCTCACAAGTAAAATTATTTGGGCTTATTATATCGTGACACCGATTGAAAATACAAAATACACCGTGGAAGAAAGAACATTGTTATACGCACTCACATATTACACTCGATGGAATATATTCGTTAGTAAGTTAAAAAAAAAAAACTATAAATTCACACCAGTCCATATAAATGTATTCACTATTTCTATACTAAAATTTCTTATTTTCTTCAATAATAACGTTATTTTAACGGACAAATCAAACCTCAGCAGCTCTTACATGATTTACAACATTAAAAAGTCGATTTTAAAGGTATAAATTAATTTATGCTTTTCAGCATGTTAATTGAATTGTGACAAATTCTGCATCTCGGCGAAACCAGACACTGAGGAAACTTATCAATATGGTCAACAGTTGCCAGCAGTTGAAAAATCTGTTTATGCAACGAGTCAGCACATTGTTCTCGTGTGCAAGTATACAATCTCATAGTATAGATTTGCTGGGAGCAATTTGATTGTCCGCGGCACATTATTACATTATATGATTCATTATAAATACTTAACACACACGAACCGGAGGTCAGGACTAACACGGTGCAGGTATTACACACAAGAATGCACAGCCAACACGCAAATTTGTACACACGGCGGTCATCTAAAATAGGTTAAACACGCCGATAGCTCACATTAAATCAAATAATAAAAAGTCAACTGGAATATACAAAACAGCTAAGCATTGTACGCATAACCCACGGACCGAGTCTGATGGTTGCTCCGTTAAGAGGCGTACAAACAACGAAAATAACATTGAAGAAACGTTTAACGTAACTAGAGATAATAAGATAATATACAGAGTATAAAATATTGCACCACGTTACACACACGCCCATTGCTGCAATTAAACAACTAAGTACAGCCACGGGACCGATAATAATATTCATAGTCGGTAGAGGTTTATGAGTAATATTATATAGTTAATATTTTTTTTAAGAACGTCGACAATTTTACCTATGGCTTTAGTCCATGTATATTAAACATCCGTAATCGTTTGCCTTTTACGTTGAAAAAAAATTAGAAAATTATATGAATTCAAACACAGCCATTCCATATGATATATGTACCGGTGTCAAACAACTGCGTTTGGAACAGTCATTTTCAAAAATTCGTATTCGTTCGACTGGTTTTTTCAACTACTTTGGCGGGCACGAGTCTTATACTAATTTATTACAATGTTTAAATTTTAATAACCTTCTGCGGATCTCGCAAAGAATTATCTCTGTATATATTGAAATGTATTAACGAAATATCAACAACTAAAATGATAAACGCATTTTTCCGAGAATCTAATCACAATAATAGCTAACGATTTGACGGGAGGCATTTAACGAGGGCAACACCGCGTTGTAAATGCCGTCCGCCAAATGCCAACATCACTTCATTTGTGAGAAATAATTCATAGGATTTCAACGAAAGAACGTTACAAATGATATTTTGAGTTTTATCCGTAGCACCGTTTGCAATATATTTTATTTGAAATTTTCTATACAAAGTTCAACTTCTAATGTATAATTAAAGCGATTACCGAGATGACGTTTGCGGTATACTAAAAAACCGTGCACGTGTAATACACACCATGAGTTAATTGCAAAATCATTGAGTTAAACAACTATGAACAAATTTTATGTTCATAAATATTAACAAAAAATGTTGAAATAGATGTTTAGAAAATAAAAAATTGGTCGAAAATTACTACGACAATGATAAAATAATGAACTAAATCACATCATTGAAGTACCTTATGTATAACAGACAACGGTGTTTTGTATGAAACGTTGTCCGTAACATAATTGTCGAATAACAATGAAAGTAAAAAAATAGTCAAGTTGCTAACAATAAACATAAATATTATTATGTCAAGTGTATAAAATACGTTCGTGTATTGCACTTTTTTATTATTTTACAAAAGACGTTTTCCGGTTTGTTGTGATAGGGGGAAAACGGAGGAAATTTTATTCTTTAAAAAAAACTTAAATTGCTACAACTGTGCCGGTTGTTGATGTGACAATGTTGTAAAACGGAATCAATCGCTTACACGCAACATTTGTTTATATAATTTCATGTTACCTAACAACAATTAGTAATTAAAGACAAGACGAAAAACGTGCCCAAAATTAAAGGGCTCGCGAGTATAATATAAAATAAACGAATCTCTTCGAAACCCGTTAAAAAAAAAAAAATAGTGTACTTTATTATTTATCACTTTTTTTGTTTTGCGCCCGATCGTTTTTTTGATACGAAAATGTCTTCAATAAAGTGTTAGATTAATTTTTAAGAAAAAAATTGTTCATTCAGAATATTACACAAGATCACGCATTGCCTTATTTCTAGAAAAAGTGTATCAACCGGTTTACAAACAACATTATAATTTATGATTGAACGGTCAGAATGAGATGGTAATATGCGATAACATTTCGTGGTTTGGGCGTGTAAAAAAGCATTGACTAGAAAATAAAAAAACTTAATCACAATGAACGTGAATTGGGAGAAAAAGAACTTTTATGTTGAGATGCACATTGACCGGAAAACAATATGAGACACCGCTGGCTGGTTTGGGTAGTGCTGGCAGACCTTTAGAACCATTGAGATTCGGGATCAGGAACAACAATAATCGTCAAAAAGACTATTGTTACATTGGTTATTATTTTTTGTTTATTTTAATACATTATTCACGGCTGACAGGTGGTGTCGGGCTAAATGAAACTCCCCCTTTTGTGCGATACACGGACCCGGAGACTACACCTCTCTCGCACAGCCTATTAAAGTTCTTGGTTATTTATTTTTATTTTTACAAAACTATTTCGTCTCTCCACATGATGTACCATTATACGCATTACATTATATTATTATTATTATTATTATTATTATTATTATTATATATTGTGATGTAACATTTATTATCGTGTGTGCGCTCATCGATAGGACACGACCGGTCCTATGTAACGGCGGCAACGTGTTATTAATATACCGACTTGAAAATTAAAAGGGTCCAAACGAAAAGTGAGCACACAAATAGGTATAATAATAATAATAATAATAATGCTTTGTTGGTGTTGCTAATAGAAAATATCTCTCACCGGCTATTTGATTGATTTCCGAACGTTGCTGTAGAATTTCGTCGGCCAGCTTTTGCGCCGTCGGCAACACTTCGGTATGGTGTTCTGATATTAAATACTGCACGAATTTCTGCAGCTGCTGTCTGTCCATTTGCAACAGCGTTTCTAAAAAATAAAATCAAAAACTATAAGTCAAAACCGCTCATTATAAATTATCCCGACAATACAGCCGACACGATGTGACATCGAGAGCGTCGGACGGATTGTTTCTTTTAAAAGCTTTACAAGCTTTTCATCATTTTTTTGTATGACACAGTTGAATGCTGAATCGTGTTGTGAGATGTTCGTCGATTATTTCAAGGCAGTTTTACAATGGTCGTAATCGAAGACGACACGATCGTAAAAAAAAAATTGTTCAATACAACTACACGGTGTTTGGGTTTGAAGGGAAACAAATTTAGTTACGAACTCGATAACCACCACCNTAATCGAAGACGACACGATCGTAAAAAAAAAAATTGTTCAATACAACTACACGGTGTTTGGGTTTGAAGGGAAACAAATTTAGTTACGAACTCGATAACCACCACCACAGTTTCGTTTTGGTCCCGTGACCAATTCCATTTTCTACACAACGGAAACGAGTAGAATGAAAGAGAAAAAAACATTATTGGTGAAAACCTACATTTATCCAAGGTTATAACTACCGTACCATTGAGGGGGTCTCTGGAATAGTTTCGTGTCAGTAATGATTACAACAATCGAGGGCAAGTAAAATTTTTTAAACGTTGCCAATTACACGCCAATAGACTGTTTTACGCAACGCCCGGACAAAATCAAGCTGAAATTTTTTTTAACTTTTTAAAATGCTTATTACACGGTACAGTTGTATCGAGATTAGTTTGATTTTTTATTTGCATTACACAATAACAATTTCGTTATAAATGAGCGAACTTTTTTATATCAAAATGCGACAGAATGATATTTTTTTCACAATTATTAGGCAACATGTTTCAGGTAAATCCGCTTTTTTCATTGAATGGTACTATCAAATGATACTACAGAGTTTTCTTAGTATTGAAATTGGTAGCTTATAATTCGATTGTTGCGCGGTGGTTCTCGAAACACGTGTAATAATAAATTAGACTTGTTTTTAATGCAAGTTTTCAACACGAACAAAACTTGTTAGGCAAATAAGATATAAAAAACAAATTAAAAATCAAAGAAAACTTAGTTTTATTTTTAATCCGGTCTAGACTAGAATTTATTAAAGTGGATCCCACATAGCTCAAGAGAAATCATATTTTACAGGTGTATCTTTAACAACTTGTGCAATTTAAACAGATATATTTTATCAAAATAACAGTTAACATATTAATATGAAAAAAAAAAAAACATTAAAGAAACAATCATTACGAATATGAATTACTACAGTGTGTACAAATTATCCAGTTTTACTTGAAGAATATATGATCATTAAAAACATTTTATTTAATTATAATTATTTATTAATTCATTTCGGGCGTAAATTAGCGCAGTATTTTTTAAAGTAATTTTTTTTTTTTTTTTAATGATTTCAATATTAAACTATATAAAACACGACGATATGAAAATTAATACGAAAATACCCTAAAATTTAAGAATAATTAACAGAAATTTTTTTTATTAATTTCGGAGCAACACGTTAATTATTAATGTATTGCCGTACATAATTAATGCACATTATAATTATTACTATACAAAAATAATAATACTAAAAATATACATTTTATAAGAATAAAAATGTATTGTTATAAATGTACACGTAGTTAAAAAAGTATACGTTTTAATTAATTCTCACATAATTTAAAACGTATGTCTATGACAAACAAAAATTGCACGATAATTCTCGAACCAGAATATTCTTTTTGCGTTATTCTAGAGCTAAGCACAACAATAATACACACACACACACGCAGGCCTACAATAATACAATAATTTTATTATTTACCTGATATAGGAACCCTGAGCCTGACACTGTCCGCGTTCCGTATCCTGTACAAGGACAAGGCCACTACGTGGGGACACCAGAATATATCTTTTGTGTCGCAGCTGCATGTCACCGACGTTATCTTGCACCTGCACATGCCAAGAAAAAAAAAAAAAGTATGCGATTATTAAATTCATCATCACAACGCTGATACTTGAAATATCACATAAATGTTTGCACATGATTTTTGTCAACGATAATATATCACATGACAATCCGTTGTCAAAAACATTTGTAAATATGTTTCACATATATATAACGGGAAACATAGTTGTTGTTTCGTACAACTATGTGCACATGCTGCGTGAAATTTACTACGGTTTTTTGCACTCGGACATCGATGGAAATTTTGGATTAAATTAAAATCGCACAATATTTCTGACGCTTATTAATTTCTATTGATACCATGGCTCGATTTACATGAAAAAAGAATAACATACAAAGCATAACACCTTGTATTGAATAATATAACGAATCATCGACCAATTGCAGCTAGAAGAGAATTTTTAATGTAATAGAATAAATTAAAATCGTTTGTGTATAGTCAGAACGGAAGAGTGGCGGCCATTTTCTCATTACGTCCCGTGACTTAAGCACGAACAAAAGGATTTTTCAATGAGTAATTGTCTTTTAACATTTTAGCAACAGAGAAAACGTCGAAAGTGTTAGTAAGTTTTATTATAATTATTTAATGTTTAATTCATCGAATGATTATGGCTGCTTTCCTAAAATTAACGTCTATAGTGACGACGATTTTTTCATTATTTTAATGTAATTTGATCATTAGAATCATAAAATATAATATCTGTACGCGTATTATGCATCCTAATACAATCTGTGGCGGGTTACATAACGTACTTGACAATTCTCATTATGCTGCTCTTCTACTGCAGAATAAATTGTAAAAAAAAAACCGTAGAATTTCCCCAAGACTTTCTCGTCGATTTGAAACAGATACGGAAATTATCACTAAGGTGTCGAAATAAAACTATAGTTTGCATTATTTTTTTATACGTTAATTGTGGACCTATGCATTTATATGTTCCACGTCATTCTCGAATCGTTACTATATTATCGAGGAAAACCATTTAAATGATAATCTATCGACTCACCTGTCGAAACTGACCGACACTTTGTGCTTTTTGTTCTCTTGATCGGGATTGTTAAAGCCCGGAGATCCAGGCCTTTGATTCCAGACGACGCCACTTAAATGGAATCCTGTAGGAAAAAGTACAATCATTAATACAACACTCATTTAATTTAACCGCAAACGGAATATTTGAATAATTAAAATGCTACATGGTTTCCATATCGGGAGGATAAGCTGATAAACCGGATNTAAGCATCACAATGCTACATGGTTTCCATATCGGGAGGATAAGCTGATAAACCGGATATAGAAAAATTATACACGAAACGTGTGTACTTATTATTACACGGGTAGAAGGAGGTGCGCATCATTATTGCCATTAGGCAAAATAAATACAATAACCAATAGTTGCGATTTAAAGGCAAAGGCAGAAATCCTATTTAAGCCGACGTTGGGTACATATATTACTACGCCGAGTTAAGTCGTGTGCGTCGCTTGATAATACATATTGTATATATTATATGTATTTCCAACACATGTACATAGAATATGTACTTTTCGGTAAGGGGGACTTGTGACACGGTCGACTGAATGAACTATGGACGGACTTTATTGATCCGGCATAGTAAATTATTCGAAACTCGGTAATAAAAACGGAGAATAGAGAAGCGGGAACATTAAATTTTCAGTGTTTGTTTTAGGGCTTTAATAAAAACGAGGCGCGGTTTTATTACTGGGATTATAAAAACAATACAAAGATTGACACCGCCGGGCTCCAATGCCTTTTTTTTTTGTTTTTTATTCCGCTCGTTGTTAACGCGACCAGCAGCGATAGGAATTCGCAAGACCCCGCGATGGGATTTCGTCAAGAACAGACTAAAAACAAACCTAATAAGCTATTTTAATCAATACCGTTCCTATTCACGTCATATTGCAGCATTGTTACACCAAGAGAGGTTGTTTCGTATAGACAAATTACAAGAGTGGCACTGCGAGTTCGTACACATTGACAAGTAGGATCGCGCGTATTTCCAAGAAGTATCGATTGCTTAGCATGCACATGACAGTTTTTTTTTATTTTTTATTAAAAAAAATGACAAAAAAATCTTAGCTCAATTGTAACACGTTACTCATGTCTCGAATATCAAATGACGAATAGGTTTATACAATTTCAACCACACGCATTGAGAACATGGCGTGGGGTATAACCCATGTGCGCCATGAAAATCTCTCGGGACGACCGTGCACATGTCAGGGGGTAGGCCGGAGAACAAACCGTCGTGATGCATCGAAAATTCGTGTACAGGTTTTTCGAGTCCAAATTATTTAAAAAGATTCACTCGTCAAAACGAATGATCGCACCGAAACCGATTTTCTGGACGACTGACCATTGTTAGCCAACATCGAGCACTACATCGGTGGTATATACATGCCATACGTACACACAGACACCGTATATAGTACACCGGAAAAAAAAAACCATGACACAACAGTGACGTCATTAATGTTGTCAGCGACTACTACGGCGGCGGACAGGTTCAGTGGCCGTGTTGCCGTGTCAAGGCCATCGTATACCCTGCTCTTGCCCGCCGCCCAACGGCACCGCAACAGACGGCGGCGCTACAGTGCGTATGTGTGTGTATTTATAGGGTCCGTTCACGTTGCCTGCGTGGCAACATCGCATCGCTGCGGTACTCGCACAGCCGCCGCACATGGTTGCCGCCGTGGCATGGGCCGACGACCGAGTGTCGGTAATGTTATTAAACCATTATACCTCTTCTCCTCGTCGTAGAGAAGAGATATACAAAAAAAAAAAAAAAAA